CCTAATTTTTCTTTTCTATCAAATGCATCTGTATATCTGGTGGTTCCACCATTTATTCATTTTGACGTATCCTCTGCACCACGCTCCTTATCCCCGCTTTCCAGGTCGTAGGAGAGTTCCTTCATTGATTACGTTCTCCCCGTACTTGTTTCATGTGCCGAAATGAAAACGCTGAACTAGAAGTGCTTCTGTAGATATTTTGCGCTGTTGATAAGAGGAGCTGATTCCGTTCTTTAGTTCATCCTTCATTACTGATGAGGCGGGATGAGAGAGGCTGCACAGAATATCAAGTGCTAGTCGTCGTTTTGAAGTAGCATGTAGTAATGCCATTCTCTTGCTTCCTATTATTTTCCAGGCTCTTGAATAGCTTTTTTTCGTTAGTTCTTGTTCCTTTTATGGTGGAGGTTTTCGTTTGTTCTGTGGCAGTTGGTTGCTAATCTCTTGCTTTTTTATACTTGTCGCATGGCAACCGACTCGTAGAGGAGCGCGTTTATGTTCAAAACTTGTAGTGTCGCTATGTTGGTAGATTACACTCTCCTTTTCATCCCCTTTTCTTATCATCCCTCCGGACGTTATGACTTGACTAAATCTGATTTGCGCCTTGGAGTAGTTCGGTTGTAACTTGATCCCAAACATGCCTATGTTTCTGGAGCCACTAGAAGTTGAGGATAGTTGAATTCACGGTACCAACTGCCAAGATACGTTTTGATTCGTTTGTGATAAACTTACTCCATGTCGAGATTAATTGGGAAGAAGTAGTGGAAGCCATTGCCTATTATTTTTTTCCCTCGCTTATTCATTGTACTCAGTAAGTGGATTGTCATGTTCCTACGGCTGCCACAGAAATTGAGTAGAATTAGTAATTAGGTTGAAAAGAGGGTAAAGACGTCCCAACACATTTTTCTTTGAAGTGGACTCTTCAATTTGATGATCCACGAAATACAGTAATACCTCGCCCTTCATGGCTAAACTCGTCATCGCTGCTACCTAAATACCATGGCGTCTATACTTAAATAGATCTTACTCAGTGGTTTCTAATTTCAGTTCCACAGCTTTTTGATCTCTACTCTTCTATTTACCACTGCAATCGTTCAATATCTTTTGCCATCCCGTTCATTGTTTGACTTGCTTGTTTGTGCTGATCAATGCACCCTCTCGTGATTCCACCCCTTCTTTGGGGCCATCACGAAGAGAGGCAGCGCCTGTGTTGCCTGCCCATTGGTTGCCCGGTTCCGCATTCTTTGTTTTCGGCGCACTTGTGGTGGGCGGTAGGCGGGACAAGGGAGGGGCTGGTGGAATTGAATTTTCCACTGCATCATTGTGTGTGCATGTAAATTCAATTTCTTCTCTTCCCTCTGACAAGCCTTGCTCTCTATTATAGAGGGCTGCATGTCAAGCTCAAATCACAGTCCTGTCAGGTCACTCAGGATCTCTGGTTAAGTATGTTGCCTAAAGGTTTCCCGATCAGGAGAATGGGCTTACGTAGAAGTTGGTTCAATAAATTTGGAAATTTTTGGTGTAGATTACACTGATGGAAGCACTTTGTACGATATTTTCCTCCAATTGTAACACACAGGTCTCCCATTTGACGGCTTCCTCCCAATCTCTATGTGATTTCCCTGCGACAGTTTTTATCATTACCCATCCTATTTGTACTTCATTAATAGACGGTTGAGTCCCTGCGTCGCAAGTCCTTCAAACGCGAGGCCTTTGTGTCAGTTGACGATATGAAGACTCCCTCCACTGCTGAGATTGCTCTCCCTGTTGGCAGTCGGCACCAACGCACAGGATGGGCGAGCGAGGCTAGTGCAGAGAAGAAGGCTCAAATCGCGGAAGTTTTGGCAGCTACTACTATTCCTGAAGGTGACGTAGAATCGGATCCATCCTCGACGACTCGTGGTCCAATGAACTCGCTAAGGACGATGAAGGGGATCAAAGGGAAGGTGTCACGGGACAAGTCCAATACTGGAATGTCGTTGAAGGTGACCCCAATGAGGAATAAGAAAGCTCAGAAACTGTTTGGTAGGAAGAAGCGACGATAGGGAAGCTGGTGATGATTAAGGAACTGAATCATTTGTACAGTCCCAAGTATACTTTTGGTTACGCGTGATATGCTTTTCTTGGTATTTAAAGTAGCTTAACTTAGGATCTTGGTTTGATGTATTAATTTTATTTGGGGACAGCGTTTTTTATTACTTTGCGTTTCAAGCTCGATTTTAATGTCTTTCGGTGACGTAGGCTGCCAAGTGTGGTGTCGATGTCTTAGGAACCTCGAATTGTGAGATCTGTGAACTCAACATCCCTTGAGAGATTCTCGTAAATCTTTACTGAAGGTAGGCTAAGAAAACACTGGCTAATTTGCCTATCAATTTGAGGAGAAATGGGTTTCGGTGACAGTGGTGGCGAAACACAAACGGATCAAAGCTCGACTTTCTGCCATTGCTGGCAGTGGTCTCAAAACTTCTTCAATGAAGCAATCTTTTTGTTAGGATGGTTGGGTAGCTGTTTTGTAGCTTGATCTCTCATAATCCCTCCTTTGACTCTTTCAGTGCTGCAAACTTCTTTAGGGTATCTGTAATGATGGAATTTAACTTCACTCATGTCGCAGTTTCTAAGCGTCCAACTTAGTAGTCTTGATGGATTCGACAGTACTTCATGTTTGAAGACCCTAATGAAAACGAAGGTGCGGTCTTTAAAATAAAGAACAAATGGGATCTGGAATTATTCAATGAATCCTTTAATTTTCTGCCTTTAACTTTGCTTTGTTTGGTTTCACCATAGGCTCTGTCTGTGTATGCCATGAAATTTCTATACTAATGTCGTCTCAGACGTCTGCAACCAATAGGCTATGACTTCTGATTCGTCTGTAAGAACACGGTGATATTGGAGCGCTTTTACGGGAGTTCCGTTTATTGAAGCCCTCTGGTTGTTTGCACGCAATCAGAAAGCGTTATATCTTGCAGTAATTTCTTGAAGTTGTTGGTTAAGAGCTGATCAGTGGTCTTCTCTTTGCATAGGGCGCTTCACGTATGCAGCGTTTCGGGAACCAAAAACTACCATCTATTGAATTTATGAAGAATCCTTGCACATGGTGCAATTCACTCTAGTAGACAGCTGATAGGTAGTGCTGTTGATGTTTTAGGTTGTTGGTCCTTCTTATACCCAAACACAATGTTGAAAAGTCGGGAGAACTACCTAAAGAACCGGTTCCACTCTGATTTCCAATAAACGGCAAATCAAACATTTCGAAGGCTCTCACTTTCGATGTATTTACCAACAAACTGATCTGTATAATGGAGAGGCCTTCTGCTCAATTCCAAAATATTCATTTCCATGTTATCCAGTCCACAATTCTCGTCTATCTTTTACCTAAAAGTTCGCCACCTATGTACCATCCACGTCCTCTTATCTCTTCCTGTAAGCGTAGACAATCCCAGAATCCCAATGCACATGGCAGTTGGAAGGGGGCAGAGGAGGGAGAGAAGTAGAAGCATGGATTGTAGTTTTTGTTCCACTTTTCTGTCTTCCCCAAATATTCGGAAATTGACGATGACCGTAATTTTATTTGGAAACATGCTTTGCGGTTCTGGACTCTGCACTGCTATGTAAGCCTTCATTCCGCCTCTATTGTACGATGTGATATAGGGTGTTGCAACCTTTACCGTTTCCGCACGCTGCAATTTGGCAGTGCCTTGGCTGGACAGTTGCTACCAAACGTTCAAGTCATAGACTTCAAACGAGAATCAACTAATGCCT